ATTTAGCACAACAATGATCAGATTGGAACATATCCCAATCAGGCTGTATGAATTGGCCCATCCACAAGCTGTTGTAGGAACAGTGGATCATATGAACACCTTGCAGCCAATACACTCCATTTGGATCCCCATTTGGATCTTGGAACCAGAAATCATCACCTATACAAATCAATTAATTAATCACCATGGTTCAGGAAAAGAAATTTGTTCCGTGAAAATGATTAGAAATATAGACCAAAACATTTATTTGGTTAAGAATTTTTTACCAACTCTTCCCATAGATATCTGGTGTGTTCCAAGGAAGAAAAAGTCATTGCACTGTTGCATGCTAGAGATGATTCCAGTTCCTTTGAAGTTGTTTACCAGGGAATCTGAAAGTCCATTGTAATAAGCCTTCGCAAGCTGAACCCGGCCTCCGTATTCTTCAGAAACATATTCAAGAGTCTGGATTCATAATTCAATAATAAAATGATTAATTGGAGAGTTCAATATCGAATTGTATACGTAAAAATAAAGTAAATATAGAATATAAAGGGGGTGGTTACGTGAATGACATCAACTTTGATCCCGGTAATGCCCGACTCGGCGAGGGAGGAGTGCATAGAGTTATAAAAATCATGGGCTTGGGAAGGAGGAACAAGCCCAATCCCACCTTCAATGATTTTGACCACAGCAAGATCAGTCATTGTCCCATCAAGTCCGGGAGAAACTTTGCAACGAGTTATCTTTGAATTTAGATGAGTAGTTCGTGGCCTAACACCACCCCAAGCACCACAAAGAGCGTGCCAAACCCAAATATCATCCAAACCTTTGAACTTTGTTCTCAAATCTCTTGTAAAAGCCTTCAATCCGTTATTCTTATCCTTGCAAGAACAACTTCCACAGCCTTCCTTGGCAGGACTGCTGCTCTCTTCTCCACCAAACAGCTTCTCTAGTTCTCCTTGCAACTTTTTAATTTTTGAATCATATTCGGACAGATCATTTACTCCAGATTGGATAGCCTTGTCACGATTCTTGTTAGCATGCTCCAGTTCAATAGCTTTTGCAATCAACATCTTTGGCTTGTTTGGATTAAATGAAGGAGCGTTGGAACTCAACAAGGAACCGCCCTTGTATTTTCTAAACTTCTCGCCTTCATCAAGCCTGTGCAACCTGGCGGTCATTTGTTCACCGCCCAGAACAAGATTTTTTGAGTCCTGCTTCGGGTCTTCATCATCACGATTGATACTTTGCCAGCCATCATCGATGATGAGAAACCTTGGCGAGAGACCACCCTCAGCGAATTCTTTCACTCCGTGCCAGACACCGGCGGGTTCTACCGTTAAGTAGAATGCATCCCAAGTGCACCAACCGAATTTGTCAACAAGAGAAGGCACTTGTTTCTCTTCCAAGAGCCTGAAAGTATTGAGATGGACCCTGAGAGCACTATAAGCCTCTTTCATGATATTGTAAGGATTATCTGACACATGAACATAAGCGATAGCATCAAATTTTGATGCTTTCACTAGAGTAGAACCACTCTCAGCACAAATCATAACATGACCATCCTTTCCAGGATGAAAAGCAGACCTAAAACTGCCATCAATGATGGGTATGATCATGACATAAGACCTTATTTCAGGGACATCTAAGAGTACCCATTGGGTTTCCATCTGCAAATCAGAACCAGAAGTCCCAACCCACTGGGTAGACCACCATGTTTTGAACCTAAAGATACTCAAGAAATTCCTACCACTAAATCTACCCAGGGAGTTCATCAACCTATCGGACGGTTCCTGTGATTTGAATCCCAAGAACCCGCCCTTGTGAGAGTGGGCCTGTACTCGTTGGAGTAAGGAAAGTGGAGCGTTAGAAGTTTTGCAGATTGACGAAAAGGGACTGAAAGTGACATTGCAAGGAACGTCAGAAAGAACCGGGAAACCTTTGACATTAAGGTTGCCATTAGACAAGTTCCAGTATTTCTCCGAACTGTTGGACCCGAGTTTGACAAATAGAGGTTTGGCTGGATCATTTGGAGGAGCCATAACAGAGGAAAACAGAGAAAGAACAGAGGTACAACGGAGAAACAACTAAAGATATGACAAGAAAAAAGACCTCAAGATGAAAAATATCCAAGCCTAATGGGTTTTTAAAAAGCTCTGAGAAACACTGCTTTGGAAAATGAATCTTGAGATACAGAGAGATTAGGAAATATACGGCGTGATAAGCAAATATATTAAAATAAGATGATATTCGGGGTTCTGGAATTGCAATTTATGATACACTTAACAAAAGTAGATCACAGAAAATAACTCTTAGAATATATGTAAGCAGAATAAGAAGGAATAATTCTAGATATACTGATTCGCACTGAAGAGGGGATAATTATAACACTGGCTAGAACAAAAGGGCTGAAACGAAGTTAAGCAGAATAATATCAAAGAGATGTTTGTTTGGTTTGCACGGAGGAAACGGGTAAACCATGCATACATTTATAGAGGAAACTCAGGTGGGGGCGCCAAAAAATAGAATAAAAAATAGAATCAAGTAAGCTATCCAGATAAGAAGTTTGGGCGGCTGCTGTTGGTAATTGTCTCTTGTCTCTGTGTACTTTATGCTTTCTCCTTTCTTTCTTTCTTCTATTTGCCGACAACTTTTACATAAAAAAGTAAGGCAATCGACTAGTCGTTTCCATGGAAGTTATTCTTACATCATACAAACGCTTAAGAGAGTTAAAAGATGAGATTGATTATAGTTACCATTTAAAAAATCCATGCATGGCAATACGCATGTATTTGGCTCTTTGCATATACCAATATTGTATATTTATTTCAGCAGAGATCTCGGTAGAATATTCAATTTCAGCTCGTGTGGGATACACAGAGTGTTTGAAACATGAATCCTGATGATACGGTACAGATTATGAAACTGGAAAGTTCTGATTGAGCTTACACTTTATATGTTATTTTTATTTAATTTGACTTGAAAGCCACGGTATTCATGGATTTTTGTGATAATCCAAATATTTATTTTCATGGTGTTTCTCGTTCTAAAAATTAAGTGGGATTGGTGAGTGGGTCGAAACTAGCTAGCTAACTTTGATATGGATTTATTTATTTTTATTTCTCTTTCTATACCAACAACCATTAGTAATGTGGTGGGAGATGTTTTTAGTTAGGAATTTACTAATCTTCTGGTTTGGTCGGCTAAGACCCAATAACTTTCTTGTGGAATTCAAGTTGTGAATAGCTAACCCTTTCCTATCTTAATCTTAACAAAAAGATTAATATTCGAGAGTTATGAAAATATAAATTGAACCAAATGTAAAAGGCAGGAAAAATAAATTTCTTCTAAATTTGAAATTGTAATAAAAAAGGAAAGAGGTTACTAATGGTCGATTGTTGATGGGTCCTCTTGAAGATTGGTGGACGGTGGTGGATTGATCTGGAAGTTTAGGAAGTTGCTAGTTCTAATTCTTTATTTGTTGAAGTCAGATCCGTATTTACAACTGTTGTTTTTTCTCTTAATGCTAGACTTGGTCAGAAATAATAGAGCTAAAGTATTAAAGAAGGCACACCATAAATTAATAGAATCTTTTTTATGATTCTTCATCTTCCAATTTGGACAATATATATACTGTAGATCACACATGAAATTGAAACTTAATAAAAGTGGGTTATTGGACCCAATTCAATTTTAATTAATTTGGGCCTACTGGACGGGAACTCAAAACCTCACAAATATTATTATACTTGTTGAGTAAGATAATGGTGCTTCTAGAATCATCCATTTAATCTGGCGACATTTGCTTTTATCTGATTACGAGGAAACAAAAACACTATAAATCTTTTGGGGCCTTTTTATCGGAGTTATTTGAGTAAACACTTTTTTCCACTCAAATAATAGTTTAATATTATTTTTTTACTCAAATTTTTAAAATATAATCTTATTATTTAAATTTGTATTCTATTTTTAATTTCGATATCGTTGCGACTCCATACTATCATCATTCTCTTTTCTTATTATTACTCATTAAAACCTCTCAAATTCTATCACTATTGATTCCGTCAATCGTCAGCAATCAAATGATTAGGGTTTGTATAGTCGTTCCTCCCAAATCAAATTCTGATTAATCTTAATTACTAAGAGTTTTATCGGTCTTCTTTTTTTAAAAAATTTAATAGTTTATATCGAGTTTGTTTTAGAATATAAATTTAAATAATAAAATAGTATTTTAAAATTGTATAGATAAGAAAGTGTTGTCATTGGAAAAAATTTGTTAACTCGACTTATTTCCGATGTTAATATTTGTACGAAGTAACGTAATTTCAATTTGGTATGGGACTCAGATTCTCTTCATTTTGTCTTGTTTATACTGTCTGTTTCAGCAACGAAAAAGTGGGCTTTTGCTGTTTAAAGTAATGAGCCTTTCTTGATCCAATTGCAAAAAAAGAAGAGAATCTGCCTTTTTTTTTTTTTTTTTTTTCGATAGGATATCAAAACGTTTTTTTTTTTTTTCTTAGTGAAAATGAAATCTCTATACATGCACCCAAAAATCTTAGGCATTTTCAGAAAAATAAAATAAATCATGAGAATTTGATAAATTCAATTTGGCAGTAAGTAGCCTATCAGATACATTCTAATGCACTCATCGTGTTCATTATACCAATAATCAATTACATTTTGTTGCTACGGGCTCTCGAGTGTGTGTAATAAACAGTACTTTACTTCTTACACTGCCTATCTTTCTGTTTCAGAATGAAAAAATTGTACTTTAAATTCTAAATAAAATGAAAATTTGACATTACTGAAACTTGAATAAACATGTACATTATTTAATGTATGAAACACCAATCATCTATGGTAATACAATCTGGCTAAATACCATACTTTTACACCTGATTTCTTTTATTTTGCAACCAAACATACTAATAATATATAGATAATATATATATATCTCACAAAGTAGATTTTTTTCTAAGAAACCATTCTCTTAAAAGGCTTATAAAACTAAACACAAAATGAAGCGTCTTCAACGATTATCATTGTTTGTAATGTTGCTATTATATTCATCTAATGCATGCATAGCTTTGGATTGTAAACTAAATGAACAAGCCAGTTCCCATAAAGTCGCGTACACCATTACTGTATCTCTTTCTGGTAGAGAAAACTTCACAAAAATTCAGAAAGCCATTGAATTCGTTACTTCTGGCAACATTCACTGGATACGCATCCAAATTTATCCTGGAATATATAAGTAATAAAACTTATTTTATATACATGCTTACACATTCAAATGAACTTATTGAATCTGAATTATAAAATTTGTCATAATGTTTTTTTCTTTTTTGTGTATGTGCAGGGAGAAAGTTACAATCCCAGTGGAAAAATCTTGCATTTTCCTTCAAGGAGCCGGCAACAAATTAACTCGCATTGAATGGGGTGACCATGAAAGCACAGATACTAGCGCTACTTTCACTTCATTTCCGAACAACATCGTTGCTGAAGGCATTACGTTCAAGGTATAGTTTCCCTTAAATATATTTTCTGCTAAATTAATAATATTCAGCATGCATAACCTTAGATCTGTATATATACATAAATAAATTTCTAAATTATAACCTGCTTGGTTAAACGTAGGTTTTATTCTTTTCTTAATAGAATACCTATAATGTACCTTCATTAAGCATAGAGAACACCCCGATTAAACAAGCTGTGGCAGCCAGAATATATGGGGATAAGTCAGCTTTCTATCGCTGTGTTTTTGTTGGGCTGCAAGATACATTGTGGGACTCAACAGGACGCCATTACTTCTACCAATGTCACATTGGAGGTGCAATAGATTTCATCTTTGGCAATGGCCAATCTATGTATGAGGTGTGCATGCCAGCTGGCTCGTCTTTTAAATTTTCTAGTACTATACTAAATATACTTGTAACTTCAATTAATATTCTTTCTGTGATTTGCAGAAATGTGTGATAAATGTTACAGTAGGAATATGGTCCAGAATAGGTTATGGCTATATAATAGCACAGGGGAGGAACTCCTCGAGCGATCCCTCTGGCTTTGTGTTTAAAGCCTGTGTATTTACTGGGTCTGGTAAAGCTTATCTTGGGAGAGCTTACGGAGAATATTCAAGGGTTATCATTATTAACTCAATGCTGTCAGATGTAGTGATACCAGAAGGTTGGGATGCTTGGTCCTACGTTAGCCATGAGTAAGACTTCTATATATCTTTATATAATAATATAATTTATCAAATGTATATTTACATAATTTTTTATTTTTTTTTCCAAATTAAGGGGTAGCCTGAAAATCCTGGAAAAATGTTATTATTGACACTTAATTTACAATTGCAGAGAAAATATTGAATATGTGGAAGCAGGTTGCAGAGGAGCTGGTGCAGACACTTCCAAGCGCGTGCCATGGGAAAAGAAACCTTCTGCTGTTAATATGAGCCAGTTTGAAACAATTTCATACGTAGACCAAGATGGGTGGATTGCCAAATCCCCAGAGAACTAACAGATTTATTATTATTATTATTATTATAGGAATGTGAATTATTATAAAAATTGTCATTTTATCATATGGTATTAATAATCAAAGTTTAAATTAAATGGTTAAGTGTTGCATTATTGTAATAAACTTTCCAAACTTATGGAATTGCGGAAAGACGTAGTGGCGTGTTCTGTGATATGCAACGTTGCGTTGTAAACGCTGAACCAAGACCAATGAGTTTGCTCAATATGCATCAACAATTGTAACTTCAGAACTTATAAATGGACGTAATATAATGAAATACCGATTTATAATATCTAAGATGAAAATATAAGACCACAAATTAATGTCGAATAGTAAATGCAACTCTCAAATATCTGAATATATATATATATATATATATATACACATGTCAACCGATAACATGTATCATTATTCAAACATTTATCTATATATTTCTAACTTATACATGTCAACTGATAAGATCTATCATTATTCAAATATTTATCGTAGAATATGTATTATATGGTGTACAATACAAAGGATTTCCTCGAATAAAAGCATATTAAAATCTATCATGCACCACTGCCATTAGCTCCTACAGCACCACCAACACTAGCAACAGCTCTGACACCACCACCTGCCCTCACACCCCCACATTAACCTCTACCAACTCCTCCGCCAACACCACCACTAGCTCCTGCACCACCACCAACTCCTCCGCCAACACCACCACTAGCTCCTGCTCCACCACCAACTCCTCCCCCAACACCGCCACTAGCTCCTCCACCTGCCCTCACACTGCCACTTGCACCTCCTCTAACTCCTCCCCCAACGCCACCACTAGCTCCTGCACCACCACCAACTCCTCCTCCAACACCACCACTAGCTCCTGCACCACCACTAACTCCTCCACCAACGCCACCACTAGCTCCTGCGCCACCACTAACTCCTCCTCCAACGCCACCACTAGCTCCTGCGCCACCACTAACTCCTCCCCCAACGCCACCACTAACTCCTCCACTAGCTCCTGCACCACCACCAACTCCTACCCCAACGCCACCACTAGCTCCTGCACCACCACTGACTCCTCCCCCAACGCCACCACTAGCTCCTGCACCATCACCAACTCCTCCCCCAATGCCACCACTAACTCCTCCACTAGCTCCTGCACCACCACTAACTCCTCCACCAACGCCACCACTAGCTCCTGCACCACCACCAACTCCTCCCCCAACGCCACCACTAGCTCCGGCACCACCGCCAACTCCTCCCCCAACGCCACCGCTAGCTCCTGCACCACCGCCAACTACTCCCCCAACGCCACCGCTGGCTCCTGCACCACCGCCTACCCTCACACCTCCACTTCCACCTCCTCCAACTCCTCCCCCAACGCCACCACTAGCTCCTGCACCACCACCAACTGCTCCTCCAACGCCACCACTAGCTCCTGCACCACCACCAACACCACCACTAGCTCCTACGCCACCACCAACTCCTCCTCCAACGCCACCACTAGCTCCTGCACCACCACCAACTCCTCCTCCAACGCCACCACTAGCTCCTGCACCACCACCAACTCCTCCGCCAACACCGCCACTAGCTCCTGCACCACCACCAACTCCTCCGCCAACATCGCCACTAGCTCCTGCACCACCACCAACTCCTCCACCTGCCCTCACGCCCCCACTTCCACCTCCTCCAACTCCTCCTCCAACACCGCCACTAGCTCCTGCACCACCAGCACCTCTACAACCAACTTTGTTGCTTTCAATACCATCAGCATTAGCAACAGTGGTACTCCGTCCAATACCACCACCCCGGCCTTTATGAATAACGGTGTTCTTTTCATCAATTCGTCGTCCTTGTGTTAGTCCGACAATTACAATCAAAATGACTAATGTCATGGAAGTTTCTACAAACTTTCCCATGTTTCTCTCAAGAACGACGTAGGCAAAAGTAGCAACACAATGATCAAGTTCAACAATACAACGCTGCGACTGCTGCTAATGATAACCGATGAAAACAATATTTATAGGGAAGGATTACTGTGGTCTTAATCATGAATAATGATAAATATATAATGGTATGGTTCAAAGCACAATGCTTCATCCCCGTGTACGTCTGTGATTAATCTTCAACTACTTCTCTTTATAGGAAAGACCATGGCCGGTAACACCTGTAACTAATCTGCAACTCTCAACATAATGCTCGGTCATTTTCCAGCCCAAAGAAAACCTACGTGGAAGTGTCATATGAGCTCCTGTACTCATGACAATCCAAAAAGTTGAAGGCAATTCTCGAAGCACCTATATGTCTAGAAGACTAGATCTCAGGATTATCTTTTTAACTCCATTACGGTTCTGTAGTGAGTCAGTGGATTATACGTGCTTCTATTACGGGTTTTCCAGTTGAAGTAAAAGGAAGCGCACGAACCATTTGTGTGATAAACTTCAACCCACCTCTTTGGGTAGGTAAACAGTAGGCACTGAGAAAAAATGGGGGAAAAGTTTATTGCGCAGCCACACTATTTGGCAATAATGAGTGTCATTTTTGTTCGTTTCGGGAATGAGAGAAATACAGCACAACATTTTATTACGTGAAGATGTTTAGTGTTCACTGGTCTACTGGGCTTAGTTTGTACCTTTATTGGGTAAATGTTGAATTGGGCCTAGTCAAAATTCCTTGGAATTGGGCCAGTCTTCTAAAGCTAGTGGTTCGCACTGACTTACTGAGATTATCATATTGCCATGGTGGAATGAAAAAAAAAATAATGAACAGAAATAGAAATAACGCCAAAGGTTGTTTTGGATCGGGGTAATCATTCCATCCTCGAACTTATAAGGATTTAGTCATTTAGGCAGTCGATAGTGAAGCCATTTACAAGATGAATTTAAAGGATAAAATGACTTTTTTTTAATTTTTTTATTAACGATTCTTATTCAGAAGAGTCCATCGTGACGTACCTTGACATAAACATAATAAAATTAAATAATTAATTTGAAATTAGCATCTAACGGTTAAAATATCAAAATTTATCAGTTAAATGAATGTACAACGTCTTCTTCTCTTTCAATTTCCTTCTTTACCTAATCTTTACCTGGTATTATTTACGCGCGGTCTTTGAAAATAATTAAATCCGAAACGGTTTATTATTCTATGCTGATAGCATTGTGCTACAGCATTCCAATACAAAGAACTTACTGTTACGTCCAAACGTCAAATGTGATCTTGATAATTGCATAAACCTATTGAGGCTTTTTGTGGTGATATATATATATATATATTAATCCATGATTGCTAAATAAAGCGAAAAATCGCAAATTGGAATTCAATAAGGAACTCTGCAGAAAAACACTTTTGGAAATACCATGGTTCACTGGTATAATTTGCCATGGAGTGATCGAGAAAGCAAAAATCAGATGTAAATATCGATAGCATATCGTCCTATTATGGTCGTCTTTAGCGGCAATAAGATTTCTTCTGATAGAACACTGCAGTACTTGCAGAGCAAAAGCTAACAAATTATAAACTAGAATCATCTGTGCTATAAGAGAGAGAGAGAGAGAGAGAGAGAGAAACTGTATGTGTTAAAATTCTGATGCTTTTATAAACATGTTGGGGAAAACATGAAAAGGAAAAGTAAACGTTACAAACAACTACAAAGGAAGAGTTTGCAGATCGGGGATTTTATCAAACCTTGAATTTTCTGAATGAGTTCGGTCATCATGGAGAACAAGCACCTTCATTGTGCCAGATTCTCTTAGCCAGGCCGCAACCATGGGTCCTGTTGATATAAATCTACCCAAGTTGCACCTGGCAACCCAAAAAGGTGCACCCATGCCAGTAAGAAGACCCTCAATAGCTCGCCTTACTGCACCATCACCAACAACTTTGCTGTGTTTGCCCCATCCAGTCAAGATGCTAAACAAAGAAGAGATTGAAATAAAATTTTAACACATGCACTTAGCAACGGCAAATACAAATGCAAACAATTTAGTACCTTAACAGTTTTGGCAACTCGTGGCCTTCAAACACAACTGCACGAATGTTTAGCAACCATGCATGAACCATTGCTCGAGCAGCACCAGAAGACATAAGATGCAAATCTAAGCATGAATCAGACCACACATTTTCCCATACTTGCCGACGTTTACCTTCAAGCACAACAAGCTGAGCTCCTCGTTTCTGTCAACAAAAGACAAAACTTAAACAAGCACATTTTTCTAGCCCGACAAACATAGTGTTATTCAATTGCACAAACAACCAAACAAAGTACTTTAACTTGGCAGTTATAGTGAAGCTAACCTGACCAAAGTGCCATAGCATGTCAGTCAAAGCATTATAAAAGGCAGAAGCAGTTGAAGAGTCCATTTGCTTTACTTCATCAAAGAGGGACAGGGCTTGAACCCAAACATTTTCTCTACAGCCCATGAGAAGTCCATGTGCCACACCATAGACCTGATTATCAAATAATCGGAGCTCCTCCAATAACATTGATGCATCTTCAAATGAATTACAACGACTGTATGCAAAGACAGTGAGTAAATAAAATTAGTCTCAAGTTTTCAACAAAGATCTATATATAGACAAGATGAAAGGAAAATATTGACAGGAAACAAGCAACATATAAATTCTTTTCTTCACTGCTTTAAGATCAGATTAAAGGAAGCCACCACTTAATTTTGAACACTGATTTCTTATTACTAATTCATGGAACTTTGACTGAATTCCCTCAACAGGGATCCATAATTCAACTCACTCAATTTTAGAAATAACAGATATTTATAGGTAGAAATTTAGCAAGTTCCTTTGTTTTTCGCTGCAGATGGAAGATTGGTGAGGTGAGCATAATCATGTGCGAGGAAGAAGACAAAAAGTTAGCCTCACAGTCTTCGGGAAATTAGTACTATGGGTTCTTTCATTCCTGTGCAAAAACTAAAAGTTCAGCTATCACAGTGTTCCTTTGGGATTCTGTATATTTAACATATGAGCAAGATACTAGTAACATAAACAACTGGCAACATTACATTAGTGACAAAGACACTGGAATCACACCAATTTCTATAATCTTGAAATCTGATAAGAATGTAAAAACCCTACGTCTGAAATTCCAGGGAGCCATGCGATATTTTCTCATCAGTAGTATCTTATTTCCAATCATATTTCAATTAGCTATTAGATATTGGAGATGTCATGATGCTGCCATCAAATTCCACAGCAGAAAAATATGCTGTTAGTTTAAAATAGGATGTTTCAAATATAAAGTCAAAGATCCTCCGACATCCTCATACGGCTGGGCTGCCTAAAGCAATGCTTCAGAAGCTTAAATTCTTTTATGTTAACAACCAAGTGATAAAACTCTAAGATAGTTCCTCCAAGATCAAAATTTTCAACAAGCATCAAATCACAAGGTTGTCAATTTAGTTAAAGATGGTAATAAGCAGATATAGAATTATACCTGCAAGCATTTAAAATGGCTGAAAATGTGACAACATTTGGCTTAATTTCCAGTTCATGCATCTTCTGAAAGACACTCAAAATGCACAAGATTTCCTGTCTACATCTGTTCTCCTTCTTTGCTTGACCAGCTTTCTCAGCAGCAAGCTGCCCAAAAAACTGTATGATTTGGTTATCTGCCCTTCCCACCAGTTGACCTTCCTTATCATCCATGGTAAGCACTTTATTTAAATTTGAAGATTCCTTTTTCAACTCAATGTCTCTATCACCATCCTCAACTGGACATTCTGCAATTGCAGACCGACCAAAGGCATCGATTATACAATTGTAGGTGACAACATTAGGCCTAATCCCTTCCTTTGTCATCTCATCAAGCAATGATACCGCTGATTCCACCAACCCGTTCTTACACAAGGCATCTATAAGTGCACTATAAAGCACCACATCAGCCTTTAGTCCTGCCTGCTTGAACTCTCTGAATAATTCCATTGCCTCCTTATACAAACCACCTTTTGAATAGACATCAATCAGGGTTGAATAAGTCAATAAATTAGGTGATACACGGGCCGCTTTCATCTCCGCAAAAACTCTTCTAACTTCATCATATTTCCATTGCTTCCCGTACCCACCCAAGAGTGCATTGAAAGTTACAACATCCTTCCTAATCCCAGAGCTCTCCATTTCCTTACAAATATCCATAACCTCTTCAAACCTACCAAGCTTCGCATATATTGAAAGCACAGTATTATATGAAACCCTATCCAAAGTGATTCCCAAAAACTTCATTTCATTAAACAAATTGAGTGCATCATCTAATCTACTAGCCTTTGCATACCCATCAATCATAGTACTATAAGTTACAACATTAGGCATTATATTCTTGGCGGGCATTTCAGCCATAATCTCAAAAGCCAAATCCATTTGCCCGCCTTTACAAACAGCATCTAATAACGTATTATATGTGAAAATATCCTGATCAATTCCTCTATTGACCATCTCACTAAACAAATTTCTTGCTGCCTCCCATAGCCCCCCTCTGCTACAAACTGCAAGCAATGAATTAAAAGTGATTCGATCCGGCTGCACCCCGTTTTTCAACATATCATCAAAAATTTCCAACACACGCTTAAATTCCACACCCCCTTTGCCACACGCGTCAATCACAGCATTGTAAGTGACTAAATTCGGCTTTAAATTAAATTTTTTCATAGAATCAAACACTCTAATAGCCTCATCACAATAACCACTTCTCCCATAAGCACTAATTAAAGCAGAAAACGCGTAAACGGTGTTACCGTAACCCCCGTTTAAAGCAGTTTCGAAAATATTCTTAGCAAGATCAACTTTTCCTAACCTACCAAGAATACTAATCATCGCACTTGCTAATTTTCCTTGTTCATTCTTTTTTCTCTCTCTTTTGATAGCAAAGTCAAAACAGTGAATAGCCTTTGACCACTCACCTCTATTTCCAAGCTCTCGAAGCAAGAACGTGTAATCATCAGAACCACAAAGCTTAGTCTCGAAGTTTAGAAGTACACTATCAAGAGACATGTCATCCTTAGCATAGTGAATCGCGTGTTGAAGGGCTTCTTCAGCGACGGATGTATGGCGGGTGCTCATATTGATTTTGGGGCGCCCAAAGTGCATTTTTGATACAAAACGGGTGGATCGGCGGCCGGAAAAATTAGGAGCAAGTTCGGACTTTGAAGAGGGGAGAGGAGAGAGCGAATGAAATGGTTTTGGGTTTTGGGTGGTGGTAGTGGAGGTAGCAGCCGGTTTTGGAGCATTGCGTGGTGAGGGAGAGAGAGGGGGTTTGGTGAGGGAGACCTTATGAGTGGTCCAGTGAGGCTGAGGATTCTGGTGATGGGTTTGTCTATGATGATTGTTTTTCAGTTGGTTTTGTGGGTAGGGGTGATTTTGGTAGGGCTTTGTAGCCGTGATTGAGCAGTGTGGCGGCGTTGACGCCATTCAGAAACAGAATAAATATGTCTGTTTACAGAAATAGATACGAAACGATAGCGTGTTGGGGGAGGTCAAAAGGGGTTTTGGTAGAATTTGGCTAGGGAGGGAAGAGATGGAGATGAGGAGGCCATAGTTTAGGAGACCTTTGAGTGAGAGAGCGACAGAGATAGAGAGCAGGTGAAGTTGAATAGATAAGATTTGGAGAGAGGAGGGAGAGTTTTGTGTACAGTGAAATCTTAGCTGAGTTGGTGAGGTATTAGTTCAGACATTGGAATCTTCACCTTTTTTTGACCTTTTTGTACAATTTCGGCCTTCCAATCGCTCCATTCACATCACAACCGTCCACAACTCTTGGACCCACTAATTGCTTACTTGGATTAATCAGATGCAGATAATAGATTCACAGGATCACCAAGCCATCGTAGTAAAATTTTGTATGTGTAATGAACGGTCAGATTAACCGGCAACAAAGTACAAAACGAGATTTTATGGATTAGATATTTTTGTCTTGACTTTTGATTGGATAACTGCCGAATTGTTGTCACCAAGCGGTGAGTATATCAGTTGTGCTGTTTCCACGGAAAGGCTGTACGTCTAAACCTTTTCATTTTAATTAATATTGAATAGTGACAATTCAACACCTGAATTTACAAAGAGAAAAGGTATATGCTTGCTTTTTATTCGTAAGATACTAGAGCATAGAGAATTAATATTTCAATAACTAATAATTTAAATTTTACATTAATTTAGTACCATTCAATATTCATATAAAATTTGTTCATCATATCACTTTGTAAAAATTATATTTTTAATATATGTAGCAGAGTACAATCTATAAATAGATTTATGAGCTATTCCATTCGCATTTTAAGTTTTAACATTTGTTTTAAAAGATGACATTTCACTATTGATTTTTTTAATCTATTTTAATAGGGAGAACGACATTTTCCCACCCAAGGTTTGATGAAACGACACTTTCCCACCTGTCAAGTTTCAAAATGACACTTTCCCACCCTTCGTTAGGTTCGGTTAGTATTTTCAGTTAATATTTGATTAAAAATACGAAAATACCCTTAAATAATTTATTTCTTAATTAGTTTATTATAAATTGAACTTAGTTAATTCAAAGTCTTTATTCGATTATTTATTAGTCCAAGTATAAAGATACATTTTTTCCTATATTTATTTAATTAATTAAGAATATTGATTTTTTATGTTAATTAGTAAAAATGAAAAATATTATAAATAATAGTGATGTGATATTGATGACATTATAAATAAATATTAAGATTATTTAACTTTAATCAATTTTATAGCATTACTCCTAACTTTTTAGGTGGGGTTAACCATTTTTTCTTTTTTGAATTTTTAATATTTGAATTTTTTGCTAATTAAAAAATAACAAAAAATTTATAAAGTAAAATACTTAAGAATATTTTCGTCTTTTCAATAAAATATTAACAAAAAACATAATAGAACTTAACGAAGGGTGAGAAAGTGTCATTTTTAAACTTGAAAGGTGAAAAAGTATCGTTTTTCTAAACCTTGGGTGCGAACATGTCGTTCTCCCATTTTAATATAAGATTTATGTCACAAACTCAAAAATTATGATGCAATGGTTCGTTGTGCAGGCGTTGGGCCATTCCCAAAAGATGGAAAATTGTGAATTTATTTTGGCTAGTTTAGGAATCTTGAAGGCCAAGTTTCTCAGTACTTTGAATTTATGGTCGTTGGATTAGTTAAGATTCTTTCTTGGGACAAGCAAAATATGAGAGTAAGTATCGAAAAGGAGGGATTTGTATCCCGCTCACCAGCTTCTTACGAAATAAAAAGAATAGATAGTAAGCTGTAATCACACAAGGAAAATAAAATAATATTCTATGTACCACTCCTTGTATCACGTACACTCTCATTCACCATCACTCGTTGCCTTTTTCTATTTAACCAGCGAATCTTGTCTCAAAAGACACAAAAACCCTGATTCCTATTAATTTCAATGTCATTACTGAAGGTCATCTATTATAAGTATAGAAATTAGAATATAACATAATTTGGGAAGATACATATTATTTTTCGAATATCTAAAAACTAAATGTTATGCAATAAAACTTCTCGAGTTCTGCTCCGTTCATGTAATCATAGCATGATAGCTAATTGTAACATTACTAAAGGCGTTCTCAAGTCAATACTAGCCAAGGAATTAATAGAGCTCATTGAATTTCTTGTAGGGCCATAACATTAACAGTACCCAGTTATACTAGTATTCACTTAAAGATCTATAAATAATAGACTCATCAACGCCTCCGGATATTTTGGTGAAAACATTCAACAGAACTTTGTCACTCACGGTGTGCCAACCGTCATGACTTCATTGCCTGATTGAGAATTTATTGTACAATTTAAATCTGCAGCCGTTGCTAGTTATTTCTACTGAATATATGAATCCTTTGAAATTCTACATTGAAAGAAATCCAGTTCCTACGTGAAGATGCTAATGCTTTCATGTTAGCTCGTGATTCGCCAAAAACTCTCAAAACTGAATGGAGAACTTGATTTTAACACTTGTACCCGATGGTGCACAACGATTTTTTCAGTATGTCTTCTTTCTCACAACTGGCCTTCGTGCTTCCTTTTTAGCGGTCACAGTAAATCCTGGTGTTGGTATTCCCATTGTGGATTGATATAGATCCTTCAATCTTCAAATGAGGCATACAATAAAAAGGAAAATGTAATAACAATTTGAGTCCATCATTCCATAAGAGCGATGTCATAAACCAGCCAAAAAGATTATAGAGTTTGCATTCAACTTACCTTGGGATACTGATAAAAAGTGCAATTACTGAAACTCCAACAATGAGGGGCAATACCGGTGCAGGAGTTAATTCCTATAGGCATGGAAAATGAAGAGAAAGGTTAGAAAAGGGGGTAACTAATCTACTCCAGCTAGATCGGTTCATGGATTTTATATATAAGTTCAAAACAAAAGAGATTCCAAAAGGCCAAAGGACATGAACCAACAACAGATTTGATATTGGTGAGAGCAAAATAATCTCCAGCTCATTACTTCTATCAGATGCAAGATTTTGTTCAAATAAACTTACTCATTTATCAACAAAATGAAACAAACCTGTTTAAGATGATCCTCTTTAACAGTGTATCTGAGTGGACCCACATGAATTTGGGAATTTTTCTCCAGGTCAACTTCAATAACCTCTGATTCAAATTTATGGATGCTTGATGGCAGACTAGATTTTAGCTGCAGAAGATGCTTACCCTTAGGCAAGTCCTTCACCTGGAAGAAGTTGGATAGTGGCAGTGGAAAGACAGACTCAACCTTAGATGTGTCAATAGCTGACTTGATTTCCACCAGAAGATGTGAACGTAGTTCTTCCATTTTAGTTCCTTCCACATGGCCACTTAAAATAGTCTTCTCTGGCTGTTCAAAGACCAGAAAGTCCAATCCCTTGGTATCCCCAGATCCGACCTACAAAACCAACAAACAAGCAAATGAGAGATCACATATTGCATGGCATACCAACAAAATGATACATAGTACCTATCCCCAAAAAAACCCACTACAAAATGATACCTAGTACAGCCCAGCCCAGCCCAGCCCAGCCCCTTCTCTCTTTTTTCATTTTTAAATAACTGACTACATATGTATTAATCACAAGAATGAGAGGCGGACACACACACATACAACTAAAACCAGGCAATGACATGAAAATTAACCTTAACAGTAACAGATTCAGGAGATGCACGCTCAATTTTAGTGCTGCCCAGCCCATCCTTTTTGACTACTTTAATAACATAAGTTGTATCAGGATGCAATCCTCTCAGACGATAATTTCCAGATGAATCTGTCACAGTCTCCTCATAGTAGCCTTTTGATTCTGACCGTGCTTCAACCGACACACCCTCTTTAGGCTGGCCAGACAACAGGGATATCAAACCCGTAGCACTGAAAAGATATTTAACCATCTTAGACCATCACAACAAGACATTAATGTGAATGAAAGCCTCACAGCAAGTCATAATATATTTTATACATCATTCAAAGTTCACTTTCAATAACTTAAAGCAACCATTGATTACCCTCAGTCTACAACCATATTTAAATCCTGCTTACAATTAAAAATCAACTAACAGATCATTCTGGTTTCAGTAGTTTTTCAATAAGAGAAAAAAGAAACAATGTCAAGAAAATCATGGGAACATAATTTAAGTTACAAATTTAGCAAACTGCATTTAATACCAGCAATGGATAAGATAAGATGCAAGGTCAATATACAGATCCTAATTCAACTTGAAATGGAGTTCAAGTATATTTAAATTAGATTTATCAGACAGGAAATATCAGACTTCTTAATCAGACAAAGCATCTAGTAGTTTAGCATAAATTAGTTCTAGGGCAAAATTATTAGTTTTTCATAAAAATAAACAAAAGAAATGATAAATGCAAGGAAATGAGACCATAAAAGACCTGTAAGCAACGCGAGTCGCCTGGAAAATTAGTTCTTTGGACTCCCCCGAACCAAGTTCTATTGCCTGTGCAGGAGGTGAGAAAGCATACTCCTACAAAAATGGATGAGGTAGTTGACAATAGCTTCAGCATTTACTAAAAACATAAATACATTGTATCACATCTGAAGTTAGACTTGTGACATATAGTTTTATGCTGTCAAAGACAAAATAATAAATCCTAAAGAAAGAGCAAACTAACTCATGGTTTCATGGATTCACCCAACTTCAATTTTAATAACAAATTATCCTAATGAATGCCAGCAGATCATCAAACTGAAAATAACAGGGTGAAAATATAGAGGTTTCAGGGAAGGGGGGAGTGGATGTAATGTCATTAAGACAGCCCATGTTATAGAGTACCTTCAGCAGAGGACGCAGGTAGAAATTTCCAGGAAATAAGTTATCAAAGAGAAAGAGTCCGCCAGCCCCAGATACCGAGTTATTCCTATAACCATCATCGCCACTCAATGATAATAGCACAGAAGGGATAGGTTCTTCAGCATCATCTTTAGAATATATGCGTACAGAAATTTGTCCAAGTTTCTGACATGAAAAGGAATTTGAACCTACTTGTTTCAGATGATAGCCAGGCTGCACAAATTAAGAGAAACATCAAGGAATTTGGCAATGATCACAAACAAGGAAAAATTAAGCATACCCTGTACTTCAAATTGTCCAGTTAAATAACAAATTTAGTGGTTCTTGCTTTAAACTGTCCTCTAAATTAGTTAATTTAGTGATCAAAAAACACCACAAACTAAATATAAGGCATGCAAGATGTGACGTATACATAGATAATAACCTAGAAAGCACCAAGTCAGACAATAAAAAAACATTTAACTTGTTTACCAAGTGATGGACCTCTTCTAGAATGACAATAAATCATTAATTCCTTTTTTTTTTTTTTTTTTTGATAGGAAACTTAGATACACAGATTAATGACAATAAATCATTTTATTAATCACATAAGTAGCAAATTTGGAAGAATAATAAGAATCTAAACGAAAAAAAATAAAAAAGGCGAAAAGAATTGAGACATTAATAGATGCACTGCCTTTTAATTAAGAAAATATAATTCAATAGCATCAGCAATTAAGATAATCACTGAAAGCATGTCATTTGAACCTCTTTAGTAGCTTAACATGATTCATATCACTACAGTGACAACGCAAAAAGATGTGTTTCAGACCTTTGTAGCCTCAATGCTGTAAGTTATATCGTCATAGAGAGGGCCCCCAACAAAGGAACCATCTTCCCCAGTGCTAGTTTCAAGAACTAAATCACCTTTCTTCAGTGGAGCAATTTGGCTATCTTGTGCAGCAACAATCCTTACATGCACATCAGAGAGAGGCGGAGAAACTGATCCTTCTAAGTACAACCCTGGTCGGCCGGTGAATGGAGGGATTGGAGCTTGACACCCATCATTTGTCACTGAGACCTAATAAAGAAAAGAAAGAGAACTATGAAATCAAGTTTGAATACAAATTGCAATACAGATTTTGCACATGGATTCCATCAATAATGCTTACATGATGTTGTCTAGGATAAAACAAAAGTATCCTTTCCTCACTATTCCTGCAATGCATGACAGTTAAAGATAATAAAGTTTAGTAAGTTGCAACATTGAAGTGCTTTCAACGAGTATCCTAGCATCAAGATATATAGAAACCATAATGACATTAATTTCACAGTAAAGAAAAACTGAAAAAAGATCTAGAGGCATGTACCTTGGGTCCAACGGAACAAATGTGAGTTTTTCTCCAAGATTAGCCCACACAGAATACTCATACACAACATTGCTTGTTTGATCATTTGCATTGGATGTGAGTACAGCTGTAGTTTTATCAACTAAAATAACGTCACTATTGAAAATATTCACAATGACATTCTCAGGTAACACACATCCACCATCAGTTGAGGTTGACTCCACACTGATCTGTCCTTTAAGTTGATATTTCTCCCCTTTTAGATAGATAGGCTTCAGAAATAAAACAAATGATGTGATAAAAAGAATATCAGAAGAACTGAAAACAAAAGATAATGAAAGTAATATCCATGTCAAAAGAAGAGAACGAAAACCGTATGTATTCTTACTAATGGGTTTGTGGTATCAATCTTCGTTACTGAATTTCCAAAGAATACACAAGAATTAACAAAGTGAAGTTCATGCACTCCAGGAGATTCCACACATATATGCTGTGAACCTTTCTGCATCTCATATAGAAAGTGGTAAGAATTCACATGATGAGACATAAAATTCTGATGATCATGTCAATTTCCACATGGGAATTCTTAATGAACAGAGAAACTACCTTAATTTTCAAAGTAACAGGTGAGCCATCAGGTTGACTCATGTAAGCATCTACATTGTGGGAGGAGATTACATTAACCCAATAACCTTTTTGAACAAATTCAACACCTTTAACATCTTCAGCGCCAACATCCACATCAATGGAGCTCTGCTCCCAGCACCAATTATCTTTTCTGAATGTAGCTTCAGAAGAAGTATGTTTGACCTTAAAAGACAACCAACATTAAAGGACATGGCATCAGCAAATTCCAAAAACTTCAAAGCGCACGTAAGAATTAGCAGCAATTGGAAAATACATAAATAAAATGGCATCTCAACATAATTTATTTATTTGTAGAACTAATAATGTAGAAGACAAAAAAAAAAAAAAAACCAACAGCAACAACAACTGTACCTCAAGCCTGTATTTTCCTGGAAGAATATCCCGAAAGAGAAATTGATTGCTATCATCAGTCAAACTGACAGTCTTTCTATCTTTCTCTTCATTTTGTTTTTGACCCAATCTCATGAGAGTAACAGTCACAAGCGGACCACATCTCTCCTTGCAAGCCACAGTACCAAGGACATTCACCAGTGCCTTAATAATGCACAAAAGAAGGCATCAGTAAAAAGTATTACCAACACTTACTGAACAGTATTTTTAAGCATATAAGGTCCTTCCATTACCCATGATGTTTTTAATGATAAAACAAAAAGGTCCTTCCATCACCCATGCTGATTTCAGTGATATTAAAAAAATAAAATAAAATAAAGGAAAAGTAGAATAGATACTAAAAAAGCCTATTTACAGCTTCGAATTTTTCTTCAAAAAGAGAAGATCTAAATCCCAAGTTATTGATTTGGTTATCATTTAAAGTAATTATACATTATCTCCATCTATATAATGCTTGGCAATTTTTATAACCTAAAGAATTAGCCAGAATAACCCTTATGCCAAGTTGCAATGCCTAATGTAGTGGCGGAACCTGAGCATCTAAGATGGATTATCCAATATAACAAATTGACTTCCAATAAATAAAATGAAAAGGTAACACTTATGAATTGTGTGAAATATTACCTGAGAAAATTCAATATTTACTATTGGACTTTTGACTGCAATATCAACATAAGGTGGCAAAAATAGAAGTCCTGAAGCGCTCTCAGGTGTAGTATCCAGAGCAGATAAGCGATATTCACCTGATGAAACCTGAACCATATTGAAGATACCAAAAGAGAGAGAGAGAGAGAGACGTGACTCATCAAATAATAAACTTAAAAGTACTTAATGATGTTTTCCATGTAAGATTGAATAGACCAGTAAATTTATCATATATTAAACTTAAACATATCCAGATTTCAGGCTACAAAGACATTTAATTCACAGAACTGCAGCACAAACAAAACGCAAGATGCTTAAGTGAAAACAGGAGAAAACCCTCAAACTCAAAGTTGCCTGCCGTTTAGTTTGCAAGGTGAAAGCTGCCAAACTAGAACCTCATCTATCTATAGTAATTAAACATAGAATTACACCTTTGATCTACACTTTCCAACAGATTTATCAAATGCAAATAACACAATCAGATAACAAGCAATCATGTAATTCAATAACCAAAGGTGCAAAATTATTGTTTGGTGCAACATACCTCAAAGCAAAAATTTCCATTTTCATCAGTTTGTTTCACTTGAGGTTTGACTTTCTCTGGGCCATGTGCCAGTGCTACCTGGAATTTTAATGTGGCAAAAAGTATTAACTTATTCTTATCATAGTATTGATTAGCAAATAACATGCAAGTCAAATGTTAGAACAAGATTTACCTTAACCTTGTGACCAGGATTAACCATCTGAACTACACCACAAACATTATAGGAAATGGCTTTTATATCAGCAACTGAGGCCATATTTGGCAAAACCTGACAAACAAACAGTTAGAATAGGGGAAAAAAAAACAAGTAACGTATTCTTAAATTGACAATGGAAATGATTATTGGCCCTTTGAATCATTAAAAAGAGAATAACCATGTCAAATTTCCAAAATACAGAGATGAAGGGCATTCAGAGACGTTTACCATGTAGTCCTTCAATTTGTTGAACTTATAGTGCTCCTTCACAGCCTCTATTGTATAGTGATTTGATGTAACCTAAAAATATTCAACACCTTAGCAACATACAAGGCAAACTCTATAGAATTAAAAAACAATAATACAACCATACTGATCTGGTCTCAGTGACCATTTCTAACTTTTCTTTGCAAAAAGCAAACAAACAGTCACTCTTTATGAAAGTGAGATACAATAAAATAAACCAAGGATAAGACTTATATCCAGAGTTTGCATTTGTTCCACAAACTACAGTAGAATCTAACTAAAATCAGTCAAGAACAAACTGAAATAAATAACTTATGCTCTTCCATCAGGCAAACTTCAATTTGATTTCAAAAAAAAATTACCAAACAAACAACTGAGAGCAGATAAGAAACGGCAAATTTGATGTTTTGACTGGATAAAACACACATCTAGTATCCCCAGTTCTATAAATAAACAAATTGTGGCCTAAAGAAAAGGTAAATCAAAACTAATCATGAATAATTATTACACAAAGTCCATCTTATTACCACATAAGCAAATTAATCATCAAGCATTATCCACAGTACCTGATCAAGCTTGTAATAGCCTTCCTTGTCCGTGATAGACCTCTCATGACCATCAACTAATATTTTAACTCCCTCCACTCCCATGTCATTTTCATCAACTACGCGACCTCCAACAGAAAATCCTGTGACCTTCAAAAATTTAAAAGAACAAAAAAATACATAACTGATTTAATTCATATAATCAGGTGGAATTAAGGACTAAAAAACATTGTCAATAATGCTGAAGAATTTAAAAAGAGAAGGAAAAAAGTGGCTCCCCATCAAAGATATAAGAAATTCCACGCTTAGGGCACAATTTACGATATCCACATTCCAATATCATAAGATGGATGACTAACTCATACCAAGCAGTAGCATACAAGGACTAACCAGATAGAAACAGGCTCATGTAAGAAGAATGCACATTATGAATCCTTCATATGAGCAATTAACCATCTTACCTGGCACTTTTCAGGAACAGTTACATGTTGATGCTTAACAGAAACTGAGATGCGAGAAGGAGAAACATCAAATACGGTATTCTCACCCTTGTAGTAGGGTACAAGTTCGTAAACTCCTGTAAGTAATCAACATCATAAGGCAATAAATCAATAGAAACACAAAATAATTGCCAATATGCAAGATAATGCTCCCATTTAATTTCTGCTTAAAAAAATATATGAATCCAGCTAATTTTGGTGTGTCACCTACAGAAACGGTAATAAAGTAGATGGTTCCATAAGTGGGAAATAAAAACATCCATTGAACATAAATGTGAATCTAACCATCTAATCCAGGATGTTATAAGTTGCTTTAATCTTTATTATTTCTTTTCATCCATGGAAACATCAGATTCTGTAATTATGTTAGATATGAAGATCACATATTGTTTTCAATTTAATTCACGTTCCTTCAATAGCATATGAGAAAGTCAAGCAGCTAAAAAATAAAACAATGTGACTTAAAGCTCTGAGTTACAGGAACCCTGAATCCCAAAACAACAAAAAACCTATTCAAGTTCTTAATGTCTCGTCAGAAAACTAAAACATTTTCATTCATGGACATCATCTCTATCCTCTTTATATTTGCCAAACCAGAAAAAAGAAACAGTTAAACTTCTGCACCTTTTGCTAAAGACAGTTTACGCTAGAACTAGTTCAAGCAAAGAAAAAATAATGTGATGCAAGACACTGGAAGCACGGATGTAAATGAAACAAATTCAACAGTGACCAAAATGACTAAATTTGAAGCAATTCAAAGCTTTCCAGAATGCATTTTTAACTTGCTTGTTATTATATAAACAGCATAAACAGAATTAACATTAGGAATAGAATTACCGCAAGGTATTGATTTAAAGGTGAACTTTCCATCTGCATCAGATATGGCATGACAGAGAGCTTTTCTTTGTCCCGAGGAATTACCAGAACCTAGGGGACAGTCTACCTCAACGACATCATCTGAATATAAATATAAATGAACTCCCAAGATTGGATTTCCCTATCAGGACAATAAAAGTGGCATCCAGTTATCAATAAAAACCACAACATAACACATTTTCAGATGACAATTGGTCTATAACCAAACTTAACAATTCCAAATTTGAATAAATAAAACTTTCTATGCAGAATATATAGGAATTGATGATAAAAATTATATTCTTAAATCATTTACCAAAAAATGACCTATCTCCAAAGAGAATTACCATATTAAAAATAAAGGAGAAAGGTGTTCATATATAAGAATACATTAAAAATAAGCAAAAATTCAAACAAAACTTATAAGAAATACAGATAAAAATGCAGTTTCATGCAACTGCTGCCTCCAAATACCTGAGCAACAACAAACCCACGAATGTCATACCCAGGGACAAAGAAAATATCATCAACTACACCATTTTCAAACCCCAGTTGCACCTGCAAGAACATGTACATATGATTCAATTTCAAAATTCTGTATATTTACCAGAAAAAACATGGCATGCAAATTTATGAGTGGCAAAGGAGAGAAGGAAGAAGAAGAAGTGGTTTAAATGCCCAAAAGGGAAAAATAAAACTGAAACATAGCATCCAACCTCCGTGGAACCTCTAACTTCAACTCTCAAATCAGGATGTGACGCATGTAGTTTGTATTTTCCTGCACCAAAAGAGCCATGTTGTTGTTAGAATATGTGTACGGCCGTGTGTGCCAAAAATAACAACACAGGCCCTTTATACCAGGAATAATATTTTTGAACAAGTAACTGCCTCCAGATGATGTTACAGCTGATGATATGAGATCACCATCATGAGAGAGAAGTTCAACATTCACATTTGAAGGACCACCATCTTTTACCAAACAGCTCTCTCCACCAACAGCTCCCACAACTCTACCAGAGATGGTAAAGCTACAATACATAAACATGTGAACAGTGAATTACAAATATATCTGGCATGAGCATGAGCACTGAACTCCAGTTGAACATAAAATGAAACTGAGATCAAATTATGAATAATGCTTAACGAACCCTGTGAAACGAAAATTAATGTCTTCGTTACCATTGCAACCAGTATCATCAACAGTGACTGGCACCTACAAATTAATTTTCTGTGGGGTTAAAAATCAAGCAAATTAAATAATATAAAAGATGTGTCAGAAGAGAAGCACAATGCATAAGAAGTTTGCGTAAATATCAATGAAATTACTAACTTTATCTGGGTCCCATGACCATCCTTCTGGTCCATTGACTTTAATTACAAATGAACCCTGCAAATAGAAATAGAAGTGATCAGGTGAACCAAGCAATATAAGCAGAAACTGGATGTGTCACACAAACATAAAGCAGATATGCCTGTTAAGTTTTAAAAAGGAAATTTCAATAAATCAAGAGCAAAGTTTACAGAGCTGTAAGCCAAAGCATGATAAAGATAAACAAAGCAGATCTAAACCACAAAATAAGCTCATGAAATCAAGCATATTGCATTTACAAAATATCATTTCACATAAACTACCCGTGCAATTCGCAAATCTTCTTGCCATAGCATAGCAAGATTGTAGGAGGCACTTGATTGTGTTAAGTCAGACTCCAATATTTACAAAACAGATGCTCAAAGATTATACGCAATCAAAGAGAACACAAGTGAAAGGCTCCTGAAAAACCGCACATGGACAGCAAGAGATATTAACCAGCATCTTCCAGTAAGTGAAATGCAAACTTACAATAATCCCTCCCAATTCAAATTACAAACCAACCAATTTGGATGAGTGGAAAATCTGAAAGTACACTCATTTATGTCCGAAAGAACCATGCTAAAACAACCTAATGAATTTGTATTCTGATTTATTTTTTTCTTTAATACCTAGAAATCCTTTGAACTTTCAAACATGCTCAATAGGTCCATACTACAACCTCGGTAATTAGATAACTTGTGGGATACCATGTCCTAAGCAGGTGGCACAAAGGGATCTGAACCATGGACCTCTTTGTCGAAAACTTTACCACTTAACCAACTATTGGTGTTAAACTCATACTTTACAATCTGCAAGGCAGACTAGTCGTTCTATTGTGTTCAAAAGCTTGTTTGAAAAAGACCATGGCGAAACAATAATTACTTAAATAACATCGCTCCATCCATTAATGCAAGAATAAACATTGTTGAAAAATACCTTATCATACACGGGAATGAAGTAATAACCATTGGGAGCACACTGCGTACTGTCCTTCACCAATCCATCAACCGTGCGTAGTTCAACCTAAAGATTGAAAAGACAGATTATCATATCCTAACAATGAGTTTCAAGATCCATGTTGTAGAGTTTCAAGATTCCTGTAGAAGAGTTTCAAGATTCTTCTACACGGAGTAGAATCGGAAATTCAATAGATAACATTTGATTAGTAATAAACAGTAGTGATACTTACAGTGACACGAGAATAATCCAACCTTGAATCAGTCGCCTTCCTCGACTTTATCAGTGACGAACTCGCCTATAAAACAGCAATTCTTGATTAGAAGAGTAGTGGTCCGTACAGTGAACATAAATAAAATTAAAAAATGAGATCAAGAAAGTTAGATCCGCAGTCTCTTGTTCGGTTTAATTAAGCTTCAGTAAACCAAAAAGATGTGAATTAACAATTTCCACTCCAAGAATCTTGGTTAAAGATTCTTGATTGCCTTTCTTGCGTATTCTTGATAACAATGTGCAGAACAAGTGGAGGACGCAATTAGGGTAAAGATTCACCTCGACGAAGCCACCACAACCGTGAATCGAATCAGCGGAGACGGCTGAGATAGTGTAAATGACGATCAGGGAATATATTAGAACGTCCCTGATCTTCATTTCTTGAGTTTTCTTTGCGAAGTGATGTTTGTTGCTTGACAAGAGTGTTATGAATTGGTGAGAGAGCGGATCCAGTGCTTTACATAAGATTTATAAAATAATCACTCGGTAAAGGCACTACTCTCGTCTTGGCTTGTTTGTTTTAATTAAAGGCTTTACATGGGTTTTGAATGAGCTTGCGCCCGAGTCTCACCTAAGCATAGTCCGAAGACTCCGAACAAATAATAAGACGGGCTGGATGGTTCGGGTCGGGTCGGGTATAACGGTACAGGCGGATGCTCGACAATTAATTATCATTATAATAAAGTTATGGAGACAGGCAAGCAATAGTTTCAATACGATGATCATGAACTTTGAGCCGATTGATGATATTTGCTAAATAGATAATGTTATTTAGATCTATTGATACATCACTCTACACTAACTAGAGTGATTCGATCGACTTTGACGGGATCAAAATCAATATATGCGTGATTACAGGTAATTAGCGATGAAAAACAATGAATGCAATAATGTAAATAACAAATATATTTTTAAAGTGGTTCGACGAGATAAACTCTAGAACTTACGTCTATTGTGTTTGTATTTGTTGTGAGAGCTTACAATTAGAGTTATATGAAAATTTTATAACTCATTTTCCATCGTTGTAGGGGATTTATATACAAGATTTGTAGAAAGGAAATAGTGAAAATAAAGGGATTACAATTGATTCGAAATGCAATTCCGATATTCTCGTAATTGGGCACTGTGATTGAGCAGAGATTACTGTTGACCTAGTCTTCCCTGCAATATCTGGGATCTGAAGTTATCGGGAATTGATTGAGTGATCATTCGAGTTGTTCGTGACTAGTTTGTGCTGGGTCAAGCTGAATGTCAACGAGCTTATGCTAGGTCAGACAACCGGTGAAATCGAGCTGATACCGGGTCGAGCTATATCCTCGCGATATCTTGAGCTTGGTGGAAAAATCATACACAACATCTGCCCCGCAGTGTTCGAGGCTCGTTCTGAGCTTCGAATATTACTACCCGATTTGATGCCAAGCTCGGAATGATAACTGGTCCTTGGATGTGGGTTTGGTCGAGCTCATGTCCGATCGACGTGCTTCACACTTGTTTACTTCCAATGACACCTGTCAAACTTAGAATATCAAAAGTTAGGGCAAACATGTAATTTCTATGCGGTCATGTTGCATTAAATGCGACAACCTTTGTCAGTCACGTTTCGTTGCACGTGGGAGACTGTAGCTGTCCATGCGTGAAGTCGAGGCGACGTGTGGCGACAGTTATCAGTGTAACAGTTTGACGATTTGTTGCCCCCAGCAGATGGTAAACACGTGGCCACGCCTAAAGGCTGAGATTGCTCAACGAATGAAGGGTCAAGATTCACTACAACTCAACGGCTGCGATCAAACCCTGCCCTTTCATGTCCCATGCAAGCTACTATAAAAGGTGGCGAAGTCGTCAAAATCCTCATTCAGTCCATGAAAGTTTTCTGGCATTTTTGTGCATTCCTTTGTTGTTTTATCGTTATCACGGCGATCCTCTACGCTTCTCTCACTATGGTAAGGTTTTTTTCCCTTTCTTTTCCTGTTTTTCTGGTTTTCGCGTCAAAGGGTGGTCACTGTAGTGGCCTATTGAGCGTTTTAGGGTTTTTAGATACGTCTCCGACAGTCTTGGCTTTAAGGAGGGTTTAACGTGGTAGCCGCCGGGACCTTGAGTAGGTCATGTGTTTTCGTAGTGTGGCACATACAGCGAGGAGAATTATTGCCAAGAGTTGATGGAGTTCGTCTTGAGCCTCTTATATCACCTCTTGGCGTCCCCTACCAATGTGACTGCGAAGCATTGACATTTTGCTAAGTCATTGACTTGGTGTAGCTCCATCAGGTCATTGAAGTTGTCGAGGTGATCTCTAGGGTCCCTTCTCCCATCAAACTTGCTCTCCAACGCCTTGAATTCTTGTGGAAGCGGGGTCTGGCGAACTTCCTCTGTGAAGGGGGAACTTACTATTTCCTCTGTCGTGCCATTTTAGAGGGCTCTCAGATTGTTGAGCATTTTCTGCACGCGATCTAAGTCTTCGTTGTGGTTGCCCTAGTGGGCTCTATTCAGCCTCACTTTGAGCAAATGAGTTCGCAAATCTGTTGCTTGCGAGGTCCCTCCAGTGTGCGCGTTGATGCGTGAGGTCGAGTCATGATGACTGGGCTAATAAGTGCTACCATGCTTGTCAATGTGTTGCTCGTGACGTCGGTTATAACCGAAACGTCGATAATTGCCAGATTGATGCACTTGGCTCATCTCGCAAGCCTACGAATATCGATCTTGTCTTGGGCGTCGGTTAATACCAGCACGCTGACGCTGGGGATTTCGTTGAGCGCTCAGGGGTGTCCGTTGTCTTCGCTTTCCCCTAGCAATTGCCTTCCGGGGTTAGTCTGCCCGCGGGATTCACGCTTGTGAATGGAGTGCACTTTGCAATGTAAGGGGTGTTGGTCGCCTCTCAACATCGACAAAGCAGATCGACCACCTGCAGAATTCATATCTGTTGGGGTGGTGTTGGTGAAGCGTGGCTAGTTGAGATTATGGGCAGTTGGTTGCTGGTTCCTCAACTCAGCCACGTTTTGTTATACCACCTGTGCAACCATTATTCTGATCATTTCCACCAGCTGGCTATTCTCAGGGTTTGATGTCCTTGCCCCCTGGTGGTTTGTGACGTGTTCAATTGGCGACATGGGCAATTGATATCCAACGACGTCCTGTTACACTTCTTGGTGGGTGGTTTCCATATTTTCAAGGTTTCCGATGGTGGTCTTTGTAACAACTACTGTAAACTAGTACAATGCATGCATAATAACAATAGAAAATGGGCCCAAAACGTTTCTTTTTATTATAAGTAATACGTCTTTTATACACAAATAGCATCATTTACAAAAAAGCCATTTTAAAAGACAAAAACAGGGGAAACAGTGTAGCTATTGCTCCTCGCTTGCCGACGCCCCTCCGACTGCATCATCACCTAGATCCTGCATCCACAAAGGAAAATAACGGGGTGAGCACAAAATAATGCTCAGTAAGTAAAACCCTCTATCTGTCTATCCCCGTATGTATTACTCTTAATTCTTTCCTCACACTTTCTGTTGTTTCCTACTAAACGTCATGGCCTCATCTTACCGGAGGTATGGCCGGATGGCGTTCACACAGCACCATCTCACTCTTCATGACTATCGGGTGGAATTCACACAGCACCAACCCGTTCTTAGTGACTACCGAGTGGGGATCACGAAGCACCTACCCGGTTTTCGTAACTATTGGGTGGAGACCACATAGCACCTACCCGTTCCTCATGACTTTCGGGTAACGATCACCAAGCATTAACCCGTTCCTAATAACTGTCGGGTGATGATCACAAAGCATCAACCCATCTCTAATAAATATCGGGTGATGATCACAAAGCATCAACCCCTTTTCTAATAACTAACCGGGTGATGGTCACAAAGCATCCACCCGTTTCTAATAACTATCGGGTGATGATCACAAAGCATCAACCCATTTCTAATGGCTATTCGGGTGGTGATCACAAAGCATCAACCCGATTCTCATAACTGTCGGGTGATGATCACAAAGCATCCACCCATTTCTAATACTCTTCTCATTCACTCTATTCTAGCACTTCTCATTCTCTCTACCCTTAGAGTAGTTGCATCCACAAAGTTCTCTACTCATAGAGCAAGTGCATACACAAAGTTTCCTACTCTTTCTTAGGTCACTTCTCAATGCACAATTAATGCCTATGGATGGTTCATCTCCACTAATGCACTTATGAAATGCCAACATGCAATGTTGCAAGAATTAAGGTTCACTACTCATACTCAAACCTCTATTAGGCATTTCATCAAACAACTCAAGTGCATAATAAAACTCTACTATAGCAATAATTCTAAGTCTTTCTCTAACCATCCAAAATGGGGAGAAACCCCCTCACATAGCCATAAATCCTGCCAAAGAAAGACACTTCCAAAAAGGATTCCTCAATATCCTTCAATTCCATCTCAAACTACCTTTCCAACCCACATCTCACTTCTTATATTTGCAATGTATAAACAATCACAAAGCACTAGAAATCTCTATTTAAGCCTCAATAACATGGCATATAACATGTATATAACATACATACATAAGTGCTATCAAAACCCTAATCAAGAAAATTCCCAAATCTCAACTTGGGTTGGGGTTTACTTACCTTGTTATGGAGAGATTTCACTAACTCTTCCTTTCACTTGGTTTGCTTGACTTTTTCTCTACTCTTAAACAAAAGAACAAAAACCCTCAATATTCAATATATACAAAAACTCACAAAGCTTCACAACCAAAGCAAGAATCCTTACCTTAGGATGCCTTAGGTTGATTTTCTACCCCAAATCACTCCAAAAGCCCTTTAAAACTCCTTGATCAAAAGAAAGAGAAATTGAGAGGAAGCAAGAGAGGAGAGTGGCGATGGAGAAGAAGAATGAAGGGTTTGCAATGACTTAATTCCTTTTAATGAAATTTATACACAAGCATTCCCATTTTGCCCTTACTCTTCTTTGGGAATTCTATCTATATCCTTTGATTCATTACAAACACACCCCCATAACAACATATTCTCCATGAAAATTCCTTACATTTTACTCCCCACTTTTCCTGCTAATTAGGGGTAGATTGGTCAAATTGCCCTTAGGGAAGAAAATATCTAAAACTTAACAAACATTTTGGTTGGCACGTCGCCGCGGCGAGGAATCCTCTGTCGCCACAGCAAAACTGTCCAGCAGCTTTCCCGTGGCTACAACACTTCTTCGTCGCAGCGAAGATTCTTCTTCGCCCCGGCGAAGCCTGGAACACAAAACTTCCTTTATTTTAACCAATTCAAGGCAAAAGTTCAACATAACACTCAATCAAAGGCCAACCAAACAATAATACTAATAAACCAACTCAAATAAGAGCAAAGGAAGAAACGTTAGCTACGTACCTCAAGTGGGGCGTTATAGTCTTTGATATGGTGTGCACCATTGTACGCCTAGATTGGGTTGGGTGTTGTGACTGTTCGTCGGAATA